GCTCTGACGATGTTGTCAACAATTAGGACACAGGTTCATTAAATCTTCGCAATAAATCGTAATCAATACACTTAGGTAGAATAATCGATATGATAGGAATCATGTATACATTTTTATTGATTATAAATTGTATAAATATCTTTTAGATTAATTGTAATGATAATACTTTGAGAATTTGGATTTTAAGAATCATTGATCTTTTAGTTAATTATTTATGTATGTACTGTTTAATTTATATACAACTTTTGTATCATTTCATTTTTACATAATTTTTGTATAATTTGTGTGATTGATGCAAACTTTGTGTAAAATAAAATTTTAAATAACTTTTTTGACTGAGAACATTCATTATTACATTTGAGAATATAAATTGTTAGTAAGGACAAATTAATAAAATTAATCATATTATCATTAAAATTATTGGAATGATATATACGATTTAAGTTAAAAATTTAAATTGCAAATTTTTTAATTTTAAAAATTTCAAAATTTAAATTAAAAAATAAAAATTTAGAAATCGAAAATTTAATTAGAGAACTATGTAAGGTTTTTATACAAATTGCCACTTCATAATGCTACTTTAGAAAGACCCAAGAGTTCCCCTAAAATTAGGCAACCTTAAATACAAGAGTGAAAATGCGCAAGTTTGTATTGCCTCTTTTAAGGGGCAGAAATTACAGAAAATAATTGAAATAGCTTTTCCGAAACTGTACATTTAAAAAAATATAAATAAAAAAAAATATTTTCGTAAATCTCCGACAATTGTAAATAATCAATTAACTATTATAAATATAATATAAATGTAATTAAAAATAAAGACAAAAATTTTAAATGAATTCATCAAGTACGATTCTAGCATTACTTATTAAACAAAAAATTGGTATTAAATGTTAAAAAAAAATAAGGAATGAGGATAGAATTATAAATTATTCATGGAAATAAAATCTCTTATTTCTGAATTACGAAATTTCTAAATTCTCATGTTTTTTAACTTTCAAGTTTCAAAAAATTTAATTTCCCAAATTTATACATTTCTAGAAGATTAAATTTGTAGCACCCAAAATTCCTCAATCCTGATATTACCTAATTTTGAAACTCCAAAATTATCACTTTCCACATATCTCCAAATTCCCAAATTCCCAAATCCCCAAACCAAATTTTGTAATCTCGAATTTCCGTATTTTTGAAATTTCATGTTTCCAAATTTCCCAATCGCCATATTCGAAATTTCGTAACTTCACGATTTCTAAGTTACTGAATTAAAACAATATTCAAATTCCAAAATTATAAAATTTCCAAATTACCAAACGTCCAAATTTTCATACCTCTAAATTTCAAACGTTGTAACTTCCTATATATTCAAACTTCCAAATCTCCAAATCTTGAAATTTCTAAATCATCAAACCTTCTAATATCCAAATTTCTAAATTACGAAATCTTAAAATCACCAAACGTCCAAATCGTTACACCTTCAAATTTGCAATCTTCGAAATTTCCAAATTCCCCAAATCGCGATTTCAAACTACTTCACTTGTGTCCATTTGCAAGAAATGCTCTCGACGACTTTTGGTACGACTTTTACTCTCGAATGGCCACGTACCCCAACCAAAATAAGTTTAGCTCGCACGCGACTGTAGAAGTGCGTAAAGTGTAAAGTAAAAAGCAGCAACGACAGCATTTACATACTTTTTACTCTTGAAAGATCAAACAGATAGGTGGGTGGCTTGCTTCGTGCTCACCAATAAACCGCCGGGGTGCTTGAAGAATTGTTCACGCGGTTGTACGTGTCCAACTTAAATTTGCTGACGTGCCTTCGGGCATTCTTGAATGACAGAAAATCAGGGTGAGGGGAACAAAGAAGCAGAAGTAACGAAACTTCGTAATGGATTAGACAACAAGCTAAACGTTTTGAGTGAAATGAATACTCATATTCAAATTATTATGCATTTCATTTAACATTCTACTTTTTTATAAAGTAAAAACTAAATATAATATTAAGTAATATGATGTTAGGTTATGAAATATAGTTTTAGGTAATATAATATTAGATTACACAATATATTAGGATAGGTTAGATTTATTTTTAATCAATTAATGGGGGTGAAAAAATTAAAATCTTAGATATTATGTAGGTAACATATGCAAACTTGAAAATATATTAATTTCTAAAGTTTCTTTTCTTTTCAAATTTTCAAATTATGAAATTTTTTAACTTTGGAATTTGAGAACGTTCTAAATCTTCAGATTTTCATATCTTAAAATTGTCAAATTTTTTAATCATTTATAATCTTTCAAATTATTAAATTGTCTAAATTTTCAAGCTTCTAAATCTTTATTAGAAATGTATTAAAGCAAATGTATTATAGTTCATTACATTAAACCTGTTGCAACAAATTTATTGTACTAAACGTATTACAATAAACGTATGATAAATATATTACAAGTATAGTACATTAATTTTACAGTAGCAAGTGTATTACATCAAATTTATCGTATATATACAACAAAAGTCATAAAGCCAATATCAACAAACTCAACATTGAGACACCCTGTATAGTGGTTACAATTCTATCACATGAAATTCAGTGTAAGCTAGCAATAAATCAGTAAATATAAAAATATTCTATTAACACATATTTCTATAAATCAGTAAATATAAAAATATTCTATTAACACATATTTCTAAAGTCTTTTTGACCGGTTTTGATAGAAATAGCTTCGTCTTAACTATAGGTAATTCTAGTATTAAAAAATGGAACGTTCCGGATGGAACAGTCGGACGGTCACGTAACGAGAAAGAATAAAAAGCAGCGCAAAGAATCAACGAGGAAGGACGTGTGTATGATTTTTTTACGACGATTCTCTCGAATCAACGAGCCATTACGAAAACGGTCGGCCTCCTCTCCGCCCCAATGCTAACAACAAAACGCCTCTCCGTAGCTAACGAAATGCTTCTAAATCGGGCGAATTTCGAGTTTCGTGCATGTGAAACGCACGCACAATCGTGTATGTATACAATCGTGACAACGTGTACGTGTTTGCACGAGTACGAGCAAAGAGGCGAGCGAATGCACGCACTCGCTCGAGAGACTAAATTGATCGAACCCGTTTTGTTTGTGGTCACTCTTAAAAACTCCACTGACAAAGAATCATACTCCCCTTGGGCCGATATGTTCGTTTCGAACGTTTTTCTTTTTGCCCGCTGGCTGTTTCCCCTTTGTTAACTTCTGCGCTCTTTCTCGCATTTCGAAAACGTGAGACTATTGTTTCCCGTCTCTTTGCCAGCCGAATCGTGCTCCACTTCGTGAAACTTTCAATATTGCCGTTCCTTCCGCTTTATTTTTATTTATTATTAAGATCAATTTCCGGGTGCTTGAAGGAATATCGATATTTAACGATTGCGAGAGAATTTTGTTAATAAGATTTCTGTTCATTTTCAATGTTTGATATAAGTGGAATGTAATAGTAAAATCTGTTAACTTTGCATACATATAAGTGAAAGTTTCTGTGATTGAATATTTGTATCATACAAAAATATTATTGTATGCTACAACATTTTTATATATTTTTATAAACTGGTTTCTTTATGAATCAACTAAGCAAGACAGTACTTTCGTTAGAGTTGCAAGTATTTAATGTTAAGGTGAAGTGGAGTAAGTTCGTAAAAGGGCCAAGTGCGTATACAGCCTATTTTTATTACAATATGAGCGTTTCTCCATTTAGTATGTTTGTTTCCTTGTTTTGTTTCACTATATCCCCTTTTATATTTCAGCTAAGAGTACTTGTTTGCAGTATAGAGTACTTGCATAATGCAATAAAAAGCATTTTATAGCAGATTTGTTAATAATTCTGCTCTTGCCCCATTACACATGAAATAAAGTTTCAAAGTATTTAACTTCAAGTTACGCTCTTACCCCATTTTCGGGGAATGTGCAGAGTAGTTGACATTTTAAACAATTTCCTATCAAAATTAAAATGTACAAGGAAAATTAAGGACATAGTTAATATTAATTAAATAGTAGTAATTGTGCAAAGCGTTCGATATCGATAGCGTTAAGTATTTACATAGCAGACTGAAAATACTTACGTTTAAATACCAACTTTACAAAAACCAGTCTGCATTTACCCCACTTCACCTTATATCAGTTTTTTGATAATATAGGTGCTTTAGATTTATTAAATAATGGGAGATTTAAAGTAATCTTATTTCTTAATAATTTTGTTTAAAATTTAAAAATGAAATATTGTGTTTTTATACTAGTATATGATAACATTGATCAACCATTAAACACCATACGCACGGACGCGATTTCTCATCAGACTGAATTATCAAACGAATCTGCGTTAATGAATTAATTACACTGTTAATATTTATTGTATTGAAATATTTTGTATTCTAACTGATTAGTATTTACTTCTTACAGATTTTTTTATAAATATACAGAAATACAGTTCTGTTTATTTACAAAGTGTTCATAACATCAACATAACCTAAAACTTTATAATACACTTTTAATCATTTCTTTTACAATTATTTAAAAAATTTGAAGGAATGGAATTATTATAAACATTAATAGCACCTTTTGAACGACCTATTTACTTCGCAATATAGGGTAACGTTTGCCAAAAGTCGCGATCATGGCTTTTTCCGTAAAAATTCTTTTGTACGATGCGTTTCATTATTCTAACTTTACAAAATTATCTCACGAATGCCAAATAAAGGAAATGAAGGTGGTATAACAAGTTTTACTTATGAAACTTGATTCACGCTAACATAAAGACAATATACAAAAGTGATATACATATTTATGAAACATCACAATTAATATATTTATGAAAATTTGATTTTAAGTAACCCAACTTAACATTTATATTAATACATAAATTTTCTGTTACACAATTTATTTTTCACATACTACAAATTAGTATTTAAGGAACACTAACTACAATTTCCTATTATAGTCTTAAATTATTAAAAAGATGGGAGTTGGTTTTTGTATTCAACGCACGGCAGAAAAATCAATGAGTACATTACAAAAAAATAAAAATTCTTTTAAAATTTTCGTTTAGTACACTTTCACGGTTATTGTCGTATATTGAACGATTTAAAATAACATAATGCCACACAATCATATGAGAAGCTTGATAAACAAGTCAACAACACTTTATCGTTAAAAAGATGAGGAGTATTTTTATGCGTTGCACTGTAATAAAGTTAATTAGTACACGTAAAAAAAATTAAAAGACTTGGTTCTTTTAAAATTTTCACTTAGAACATTTTCACGATTGTCACATACATGATTTAGGATAATAATGTTACATGATCATATGAGAAGCTTGAGAAACAGTAGTTACAACATTGAATACAAAGTTTATTTGGATGAAATACGGCTGTCCAAAATATATATATTACATTGCTTATCTTATCGTGTACGATTAGCAAACAGTATTTACTTTTCAGTAAACACTGGTCTTGTGAACTCGTACGTGTATCTCAATAACGCGTACGGTCGAAACGCTGAATTGGCAGTGGTGTGACAACTTTGCATAAAATGTGTAGATGTCACAAGAATGAAACCGAACTGCGGAATACAACTGTGTAACAGATACAATCAGATCCTGTAAAAAAAATAGAAACAGCAAAACATTTATAAGTTTTTGTAAAAAAAATAGAAATAGAAGACAAACAATTGCTGTAAAAAAAAACACAGAAACAGAAAAGAAAACAGTTGTAATAAGATTCTGTAACAAAGCACGAACAGAAAGAAAATAATTAGTTTCTGTAAAAATTATCAGAGGAAACGTGAAGTGGTCTGCAGTGAAGTGTTTGAAATAAGAGAAGAAAATGAGTAATAGCGATTTGTGGATACGTGACATAATAACAAGTTACGGATTGTCGACGCTTATTCTCGTTGTGATGACGATCTGGATAACACGAAGATGGTCCAGTTTACAGAGAAGAATTTACAAAGCGTATTTAACAGGATTCGAAGTAGAATGCTCGGAATTAGCATCACCTTATAAGAAACATTTATTCAAGTCGTTGCAACATATTGTTTCGAGTGATAACGTACTTCGATCCATGGACTGCATTCGACTGCTGGAGATTGGTGTCAAAACCGGTGTGTATTGCATGTACTTTATGAATTGTTATTTATGTTTCTTTAACACTTGTATGTTATGTAGTTGGTTAAAAAATTGTATTGGTTGTTGTGGAGATTTATAGATATTACAAATACTACACAATATTACAAATGTAATTTAACTAAAATTTTATTGTACAACATATTAATTGTTTTTTAACACTATTTCTACCAAGAGGCATCAAAAGACACCTTTCAAATGTTAACTTAAAATTACTCTCTAAGTTGAATCATTTCTCTACAATTAATTTTTTCACTTTTCGTACAATAGTTGTTAAATTCATTCAGCAATATCATTTTCTTCCAGCTCATCTAGATCTAAAAATGTACATATGATATACTTATTTCTACCATGAGGTCTTTTGACACCTTCAGGATTTGCCAGTGGCTAATTTTAAACCATTTTACATATAAATATCAACACCATTTTGCAGCATCATATCAATTATAATCAGATTAGAGAATCCCGATTTCAGTTGTAACGAAAAATACAGGAGTTGCAGAATAACTTTAATATTCGCTTATTTCCCGCCATGTTGCATTTTAGTGTACAGCGCTATATTTATATTTTATAGATTGACGAATTAAGCTAGAATCTACAACCTGATTAAATAATCTCTAACAAAAACATATCAATGTATCAATAAGTATATTCCTCAAATCATCTACATTTAACTAATAATTCGAAACACAACAGTTTTGACAATTATTTGCATTCAAACAAAAAGGTGTCAAAAGACACCTTTTGGTCAAAATATGTATATACAAAATCGTGGTAGAAATAGTGTTAAACGTATAAGAGGAGTTATTACTGATCATAATCTTCATTTAACACAAAAACTGCGAAAACAGTAAAATGGCAACTCCATAAGTTTCTTATTATAAGTTACCCAATGTGTTAACATGCTTTTCTTGAAATAGTGTGGGAATGTGTGTCATAATGATAAGCATCGTAAAAACTAAAAGCAACTTTTGAAATTCGAAAATTTCTAAATTTCCTGATTTTTGTTTTTCAAATTTCTAAATTTTCAATTGTCAGATTTCTAAATTTCCCAATTTTGCAATTTCCCAATTTCCCAATTTCTCAAATTTCCAATTTCCCAAATCCCAAATACTCAAATTCTTGAATTTTGAGATTGGCAATTTCCCAAAACCACAAAATTCGTTAATTCCTAAATTCCAGATTTCCAAATCTCCAGATTCCCAAATTTTCAAATTCCCAAATTCTCAAATTCTCAAATTCTCAAATTCTCAAATTCTCAAATTCTCAAATTCTCAAATTCTCAAATTCTCAAATTCTCAAATTCTCAAATTCTCAAATTCCCAAATTCCCAAATTCTCAAATGCTCAAATTCTCAAATTCTCAAATTCTCAAATTCTCAAATTCTCAAATTCTCAAATTCTCAAATTCTCAAATTCTCAAATTCTCAAATTCTCAAATTCTCAAATTCTCAAATTCTCAAATTCTCAAATTCTCAAATTCTCAAATTCCCAAATTCCCAAATTCCCAAATTCTCAAATTCTCAAATTCTCCATTCCCTAAATTCTCAAATTCTCCATTTCCTAAATTCTCAAATTCTCAAATTCTCAAATTCTCGAATTCTCAAATTCTCAAATTCTCAAATTCTCAAATTCTCAAATTCTCAAATTCTCAAATTCTCAAATTCTCAAATTCTCAAATTCTCAAATTCTCAAATTCTCAAATTCTCAAATTCTCAAATTCCCAAATTTCCAAAAGCCTATATCTAAAGCAATCTTTCAACATACAATCTCACTTACGACGTTCCACTTCAAATTGTTCAATGTTGACATGATAAAAGATCAATACACCAACAGAAAATTGCTTTAAGCGATTTGTACGAATTATTTTCAACTCTGGAAGGACATATATTACTTTGTAAACCTTGTGACATATATTACTATTTTAAAGTGTGGAAGCAGGATAATAATTGTTTTGAGCCATTCTATAATGGATCTATTTCGCCCCCGTTTCATTTGTACCACCATTTTGAAAACACTGTGTATAGCGAATACAAACGTTACAGGTGAAAATATACAGTTTTACCCAGACAACACTCATTTGATTGCTGTTGATCGAAATGTAAGATTGGCTGAATACCTGATAAAAGGAAATCGTTCTTGGCAATTTTCACATATCATTATTGAACGTGTGATAGTTGGTGACGGTAGTTCTCTGAAGGATGTTCCTACAGGACACGTAGACGTAGTTGTATCAATGAGATCATTATGTTCGGTAACATCGATACAATCAACGCTTCAGGAGATTCGCAGAGTACTGGCACCGGTAGTATAATATACATATGTATATTAAAATGTATAATATATGTATAACACCGTATATTATGTGTCTATAATACCATATTTCGTGGTACATATTCAGTTACTGTAGATGTTCGTTATATTGCCACCATATTGCCGGTTATTAGAGCTTTCTTTTAAGAAAATGAATTAAGGTGAAGTGGGGTAAGTGCAGACTGGTTTTTGTAAAGTTGGTATTTAAACGTAAGTATTTTCAGTCTGCTATGTGAATATTTAACGCTGTCTATATTGAACGCTTTGCACAATTACTATTATTTAATTAATATTAACTAGGACCTTAGTTTTCCTGTACATTTTGATTTTAATAGGAAATTGTTTAAAATGTCAACTGCTCTGCACTTTCCCCGAAAATGGTGTAAGATCGTAACTTGAAGTTAAATACTTTGAAACTTTATTTCATGTGCAATGGGGCAAGAGCAGAATTATTAACAAAACTGCTATAAAATGCTTTTTACTACATTATGCAAGTACTCTATACTGCAAACAAGTACTCTTGGCTGAAATATAAAAGGGGATATAGTGAAACAAAACAAGGAAACAAACATACTAAATGGAGAAACGCTCATATTGTAATAAAAATAGGCTGTATACGCACTTGCCCCGTTTACGAACTTACCCCACTTCACCTTACAGATATACGACGACCACCACAAGGTTTTTATAGCTAACTATATTGTAATGTGTCCTTTTTTACCAAATAATAATAAGCACTATTGTGATATTTTTATTTGAAGACAAACCTAATAAATTACATTGTAACACTTTTATTTTAAAAAGATAGCAAACTATATTGTAATATTTTTATTTCAAAAACATGGTAAATAATACTTCGATATCTTCACTTTCAAGCCGTTTAAGTTTTCTCGCAAGTGAATAATACAATTGTTTGAATAAATAGGTTTTACAGTATCGTTGTTAAATTTGAATAGGTTGAAATTAATATTCTAATATTTACATTTGATTTGACTTTACTTGGGAGAGTATAAACATAGTTGTTAAAACAAAATGGAAGTATTAAATATAAAAACTAGTCCAGTAGTTTCTTTTTTTAATATTTGATGTACTGTTAAATCTCTATTTCTTACGGCTTCAATAACATTTAGTAGAATATTTACACAATGTTACGTTGTTTGGTGATTTTGAAACAAATTGTTACTAGTAATGTGCATTACAATCTTTTAAATTAATATTTAATTTAATGTAAAATGGATGGCCAATCTATTCTATGATATTCAATAATATTTATATTGATGAATTTTTATAACCTGAAACTATTATCATTTTATTATTTTTAATAAACACTTTTATCGTTTTTAGTATGTATGTTCTTTCATTAACAAGTGAATTTTAAACACTTATTATTACTAACTGAAATTTTCCTTATTTAATAAAACAAAATACGGCAAAAAATTAAAACTCTATCTTTCTATATTTAGCTGTAATTTTCAGCTACTAACCTTGTACGTGGCAGTATAACGAGAATCTACTGTACGCCGATGCGACACAAACTATATCAATATTAATATACTTATATTAATTAGAATACAGAAAAAGTGTCTCACATGAGATTAATCTAAATTAAGATAAGTTTAAAACTAAATATCTCACATAAGATGCTATTGAATTATTTTTTAACTAACATTTCCAAAAAAAAGAATATTTATTAAACCTATAACACTTAACAGCTTATTTTATTAAATTTAAACTTACTAAACTTACCAAACCTATAATTACTGGTGCTACTAAAAAGAGGGGAATTATTACGTAACTATAAAATCATTATTTATTTCAGGGTGGTCAGTATTTGTTTATAGAACACGTGCCTGAAAAAGAAGGAACTTTCATACGATTTTTACAGAAAATATTATCTCAAACAGGAATATGGCCATCACTTTTCGGTGGCTGTCATTTAGATAGTGATCCTATCACACATATCAAAATTGCTGGCTTTGATCACGTTATAAGCGACGCGTTTACACTTGATGGTTACGTGTCTCAATCGTTTCATCTGGCACTTTCGAAGCAACACGTACTGGGAGTTGCAGTTCGCTAATTAAATATAATGAATCTTTATTAAAAGATTAGTCTTTTATTGTTAAACATTATACATATAACCTTAAAGTAGTCGTGGATTCGGAGGAGGGCATAACGTGTCCTCGAGTAAAATATTTATTTTTATTTTTTTATACAATTCTTTCTACGATTTATCCTAGGTAGAATGTGAAAGATTTTTAAAGAAAGAAATCTTTAAAAGAGATTTCAATAATAAATAGTACTATCTTTTTGTAGAAGCCATTGTTCTTCGAAAAGTATGTCGCCCCTTAAGAGCATTTTAAATCTCTACGCCTTTCCGCAAGACAATTCTAAGTTCACCCACGAACACTTGTAATGTATTGTATATATTTTTATTATTGTTGATATTGTTGTATATATTATTAAAGGTGATATTTTATACTTGATGATTAATTTAAAACTTATTTTTCCAAAACTTGAAATCATCTGGATAACAAATACGTATAATTATGCGTATAGTAAAGGGTAGTAAAGATACAACCTCGCCAACTTCAATGACCTTGAAATAAATTGTCAAGGACATTATCCTGAATATCTTTTATTTACACATATGACCGCCACTTGGGTTTAGTTTCAGAGATATTCGCAAGAATTAGTTATTTATGAAAGGGAACAAAACCCCACCGATTTTTGTGGCCTAGAAATATGTTAAAAAGATCAATATTCTGAACAATTTTGTTTACATATGTAGGAACCTCTTGATACTGGTTCTTACGATAATTTCAGGAACCATATCGTAATTCAAAGTTAAGCTAGAAGTAAGTTCTTCATAATTGAAGTTTACAATAAAACTTATTTTCATAAAAGAAGTACCGCAGGCATTTAACAGGTACAATGATATAACACGAAATAGTCTTGCTCTAATATTAAATAATTTAAGAAATTCAAAGCGTTTTGGAAGTCTCATACATACAGCTACTTCTCAATTTATATTTCTGCGCGTGTTGTATGGAAACGGTACAGCTGGCGCCATCTAGCGGCCATGCACGGAACTAACAAAACGAAAAATAGACTTTTTCGTAAAACAAAGTAGCTTTACGTTTTGTTGAAGATTATACACTGTTCTAGGAACATGTTGCAATCAGAAAAATGATTTTGCAGTGGACTAGAAGCTTTATATTCAAAAATTTACAAAATGTCATTTTGTGGAATTTAAAATGCATAGCCATCTGGCGGTAGAAGGTGAGAACTAATGGAAGTAAATCTTGAAAACAACTTTTGCGTCTATTAACATTTATGATGATGATGATGATGATGATGATTAGTTTTATGGGCATCGACTGCCATGGTCATTAGCCCAATATTAACATTTACAACTTAATGTTACACTTTAAATATTCTAAAACAACTTAATATTTCTTTTTCAAGCAATTTAATGCATATTCTTGTCTATTAAGACGAGAAACGTCAAAATTAGTTGAATTTGATGGAAAATATAGAGTGTTTTTTATATTTAAAATTAGTCAATAAATTATAACTTCCAAAAATAACTGATTTATTGATATTGATTTTGAAATGCGTGTTGCTGAATTTAAATTTGATTAAGGAATAAATAACGAACGTTTTTCTTTTAAAAATACAATTGAACATAAATAAAATTGAATGTCAAATACAAATAAAAATCTTCTTTATCGACGGCTTGAAAATGAAATTCCTCTTGATCGACGATGACTCTGATGATCACCACAAAAACGGACCACGTGACGCCATCTCTCGGCGAATGGCGCGAACTATGTCCGGCGGGAAAATGGCTTTCGTTAGTTCACATATTCTACCGCTAAATGATGCTACATGTACCGTTTACAAAATAGTACTACATGTACCTTTGCAAAATAACTGATTTTATTGGACTTGATTCTGAAGTTGATTTTAACACGTGTTCTTGACTTAAGGTTTGATTACAGAATCAATAGCAAACAATTTTGTTTTTAAAATAAAATTGAATGTGATCAAACGACGATAGCTTTAAACATTAATCATTTGTCTACAAGTACAAACAGAATTCTTCTTGATCGACGACGTGAATAACAGAACTCATCTTGATGTCTTGAAGACATTGATGATCACCATAGAGTATAGGAATTATTGAAAATTATACCCATATACAATATATATATCAAGAAAAAAAGGAAACAATCTTTTAAAAAAACCGCCACAAACGCTGCTAACAGCGCAATTTAACAACAAACTGTTGAACTATGATGAACACGTGTAAAGTACCAACCGAATTCTGTCGGTAATCAATTGATTACGCTTCAACGGTAATAAGCCATCAGCGAAGTTTTTATTGTAGTTCCGCGTATCGCCACTAGATGGCGATGCGTCGAACCTTCATAAGGGGGCGTTTAGAATAGGCAAGTACATGTCAAAATAGTCTAATGTGAACGAAATTTAATACACCGAAAGAAAGCAACTGTCCGATTTATGTATTCATCACATTTTCTTCCATAACTAACAGTTTTTTCAACTTTTTAGAAACAAATTAATTGCTACATTATCCTTATGCTTTCAACAGATTTTTATTAGCCTTCAACAAGATCCTGCACTACAGCGCTCACTAATATGTACTTACATATTATTATGATAATTCCGTCCTAGAATTAAGTGTTAATAATGTATGTATTAATTAATAAAATATATTAAGTCATTTGATGTACAAAATAAATATAAGTAAAAACATGTATTTGCATATTTACTTACTTATAAATCCTGTCATTCCGATCCCCAGAAATTGCCCCAAATTTCAAAAAATGACAAATGAAAAACAAAATATTGAGAATTTGTATCAGGAGAACATGCATTATCAGAAGATATTCTTTGTGCTTCGTGAAATTTTCATAACATCATTTCAAGAATTCTCGGGCATGATTTTTGAAATTCCATCGACCAATTTTGAAAATTTGTATCAGGAGCACATAAATTATGAAGAGGTATCCTTCCTGCCACTCCTTGGAATTTTTATGACGTCAAATTTCAAGACTTCCCACGCGCGATTTTTGAAAATTTGTATCAGGAGAACATAAGTTGTGAGGAGGTATCCTTCGTGCCGGATGCGATTTTTAAAAATTTGTATCCGGAGAACATAACTTATGAAGAGGTATCCTTCCGACTACTTCTTGGAATTTTCATGACGAAAAATTGGAAGAATTCCCGGGCGCGATTGGTGAAGTTTAAGCAACCGATTTTGAACATTTGTATCAGGAGAACATAAGTTATGAAGAGGTATCTATCATGCTAATTTTTAGGATTTTGGTGATGTCAAATTCCAGGAATTCTCATGTTCTCTTGATACAAATTCTTTCTTTCGAATATATCAATTTTTATTCTGTTCGGTTTGTTAGGTAACAATGAATACACAATGATTGTTGATAAATTTTTCTTTATTTTCACCACTTTTTATACAGTGCATAACTTAATTAAACTTATTGTTTAATCATTTAATTAATAACTTGTGGAACGCCGGTTTTATGGACGGGGAATTAATCAGTTAACCTTGACCCTCTGTGCAGTCCTACACCGTAAAAGATAGACATGCACAGTAAATTTTTACAAAGGAATCGAAGAAAAAGCAGCTGCGGCACTCTAAATGATGACGTAATTAGTTTTTACGTATCCCTTAAAAAGTGTCCCTCACTTTCAAAAATGCATCAATTTGATTTGTTAAAAAATTTATTGCGCAGGATCCGCTATTATCTTATGGTAACGTTGACCCTTGCGCAGTTGTAAATCGTAAGAGATAAACATGCGCAGTAAATTTTGTGCAAAGAAAGTAACCAAAGAAAAAGTAGTCGAAACACCCACAATGATGACGTAATTAGTTTATACGTATCACTTAAAAAGTGTTCCTTAATAAGGGTTTTACTGTACTATCATTGTAAGAGTACATATATATTTTTCTGCCTTGTTTTCGAGCATGCGTACAACGTCTCAGCGTAACTCACGGACATGTTTCTGCGTTATAATATGATTATGCATGTAAACTATTAAACGCAGATGTTTTGTACCCTGTGAATATAGAAATGTATAACAATTAGTATCGTTTTAAAATAAAATTGTCAAATATGAAGGAAAATAAAAACAAATCACAAGAAGCATATTTTTTATTCATATTTATTTCTTGTAAACAATCGTATATAGTTAAAAACTATTGATTAATAAAATGAAATTACTGATACAACCAAATTTACGCTTCAATAAGGTAATTCATGCTTTCTTTATTTAGTATACAAAACTCATATGAAAATTTTTCATTTTCTTTTATTTCTTTACACAATTATAATCATGAAACATTTTACATCATGCTGAAAATACGTGACAGATTTAAAGAATTTAGAAGTTGGGAATTTAAGGATTTAGAAATTGGAGAATTTGAGAATTCGATAATTCAAAAATTGAAAAATTTAAGAATTTTTAGAATACAAAAATGAAAAAATTACTAAACTAAAACATTTAGGAATGTAGGGGCGAGGTCTACTAAATACTGGAGCTTAGGGGAAATGCACCCTTTTTAGGGGAGCGTAAGGGCAGTACTGATTTCATAGTTCTGTTTCTGTTTCTATTAAAGAATTATAAAATGAAAATATTTATTTTTACCTAAATTAATTAATTAAAATTAAAATTAAATTAATTAATTAACATATTTGTCACATATCAATATGTGGCAAATATGTTATTGTTATATAAAACATTTTAGTACATTACTTATAGTTAATTTTTTTTAACTACCCAATATTATAATACTTTTTTTAATATAGTAGGAAAAAAATGTACCATTCCATTTAAAAAAAACAGAGTTGACTTTGAAATCTCAGGTACTAGACCTCTGGAAAGATTATTATTGCCACATATAAATTCCTTTTATATCAGTAAAAACAATGCGAATACTTAAGGCAATTATTTTTCTAAAATATACATATCTATATATGTATATAGATTTCAGAGCCAAAGTATCTATTTTTTAAATGTCCACTTTTCAAAAGCAGTGACATTTTGCTTGTTTTTCACTCTCTCCGACAATAATAATTACTTCATTTCAACTTGTTTAATTAATAATATATACAATAACGTAAAAAATGATAATAAGTCTATATCTTTGTTTGAAGATTTTCGTACCATTAATCTACTGTTCCTAAATTTAATAAATGTTATTTAATACCCAGACTCTGATATCCAAATACGACTTATTAGAAATTTTATTTTTTTTTATTTTATTCAATGCAATATGATTAATAATAGAAAACCTTATATCATACATGCAAAATGACAACTGTAATTTAATTGCAAAATTTATATATGTGTTATTAAACGTTAAAATTTGTATTTTATACATTAAGCTCTTCAATTTATGCGTCATTTTGTGTACATTTTACACTACATTATATCCTATTTAAAATATAGCTATTTAATATAATTTCTTACAGTTTCTGCATAGCTCCTTATGTACTATAATGCATAGTATGTTAAATACTATTTTGTCAATATAAAATTAATAAAAAACAACTTAATACCTTATGACAGGTCACCAAAATAGTCGGACAGTTTTAATTTCTAAATAACAAAAACTGCAAAACTGCAAAAATTGCAATACTGTTTGAATATTTTCAAAATTTTATTGTAATAATAATTAATTATTATTTCATTCCTATTGAAAGATCTGTATTAAATACATGATAGGATTATATGGCATTATACATCTTTTTGTTACCTGAATGTATAATGTTTAAAAAATAATATAATGATTCACATTAATGTCCGAATATTTTCCTGACCAACTACATATGTAATACAGATATGGATATGTTTATAAGTATTTACTTTATATTTAACATTAGAACTACCAACATCGTACTTATACACAGATTTAAGACAAGAATAAATTGACATACAGGGTACCTAGTCTTTTTTATTTTCAAAGAGATAGTAAATGTTTTAAAGGCAAAGTTGTATTATTTAATAAGGCATATATAATGTTACAAAAATTATTTTTCAGATCACTTTCTTTTTAAATAAATTTATGGTTATGATTTATTTCATTAGAAATTCAATTATTACAAGTATTTCAGATTATCAAAGATCACAAGCAAAGAAAATCAGTTTTAAGATATTGGAATGTTTTTAGGTTTTTAAAATATTCCAACCCAATTTCATTATTATTATTGAAAAATTGAATTGATAACTGTCTATCGTAAATGTAGAAGAAATGCAATGCAAACCTAATTGTGAATATCACACCAAATGTTCTTGACACAATCCAATATACTTCGAAAGTTTATTTATATAACTATCTACATAAATGATTACCATTTCAAACATTTGTAACATGAAAATACTCTGCTTTAATACTTCAAATTTTATATGTTACCTTTATCTAGTTATGTATTCCATTGAGCTAAAGATCTTTGTATTTAGAACATGTACTATATATTTAATGGAAGCAAAAATATTTGTACAATAAATGTAAAATAAGTCACCTTGTATAGAATAATTTCATTATTTAATCACAGCCAATGTATATTACTAAAACAATAATGTTTATCGATTCTTTTTTTTGTAAATATGAAATTTGGAATTCGTCATTTTAACGAGTTTGGTTGTTCTAATGTTAACCTTAAACAAAACTGAATTATTATCTTCATTTTATATTTGCAATATGTTGTTACTTTATATATATCTCTGCTGATGTAATTTAGCTGAGTACAACAGTAATTTAACATTTTACTCAGAAAGTATGGAGGAAGTAAAATCAGAATCATCAAAATCAAATAAGTTGGTTTCAAAATGTATGTAATTTACATCATGTAATGATTCTGTCGGGTTTATAATTACAGCTTCCATTCTAGATTTAATTTTTCCTATAATTGTAAATACTGTATTACTTAAAAACCTAATTATATACATTAATTCGTTATGTTATATAAATCTTTGTATTATTACCTGATTCTCTGCAAGGTTTTGTTGTATTACATTCATTGCTACATTGTTCTTTAGTTACATTTAAAGTTTTTTTGGATCTTAGACAATGTCTGTGTTTTATCAATGCATCATCTACATCAGATGTTTCTTTAGTAAAGCTTAAATTCATCTTTTTGCCACTAGTTGTATATTCACTATCATTATCATTATTATTGTTAGGAAGTATTTTTGATTTACGAGAAAGTGTATTATATAAATTATTCTGTGAATTTTTAGACCTTAGACAATGTCTAGGTTTTATCAGTGCATCATCTGTATTAGATGTTTGTACAGTAGAACTTAATTTTATTGTTTTATCAGGAGTTGTCTGTACATTAACATTATTATTATTTTTATGAATTATTTTCAATTTAGGAGAAAGTGTACTACCTAAATTGTCCTGTGAATTCCTGGGCCTAAGACGTCTAGGCTTTATCAATTCATCATTACTATCAGATGTTTCTACAGTAGAACTTAATTTCATCTTTTTATCACTAGCTTTATGTACATTACCATCATTATTATTTTTATGAATTATTTTCGTTTTATGCGAAAGTGAACTGCCTAAATTATCCTGTGAATTTCTGGACCTTAGATAATGTCTAGGTTTTATCAGTACACCATCTGTATCAGATGCCTGTACAGGAGAACTTAATGTCATCCTTTTGTCACTAGTTTTATGTACATTATCATCATTATTATTTGTAGGAATTATGTTTGATTTATGAGAATGTGTACTGCCTAAATTATGCTGTGAATTCCTGTGCCTTAAGTGATGTCTAGGCTTTATCAATTCATCAACACTATCAGATATTTCTACAGTAGAACTTAATTTTATCTTTTTGCTACTAGTTGTGTATGCATTATCAGCATTATTATCTTCAGGAATTATTTTTGATTTGTGAGAATGTGTACTGCCTAAATTATCTTGTGAATTCCCGGACCTTAGATAATGTCTAGGTGTTATCAATTCAGCAACACTATCAGATGTTTCTACAGTAGAACTTAATTTTATCTTTTTGCCACTGGCTATATATGTATTATCATCATTAATATTTTCAGCAATTATTTTTGATTTGTGAGAAGGTGTACTGCATATACTGTTCTGTGAATTAGTGGATATATGTAATGTATTATCAATGCTCTTTTCACTTTGTACATCTTTATGAGTGTTTTTAGAAAATACAGAAATATTACTTGTAGATAAAGTATCAGATGTTTTACTGTTGCACCTATACATTAAAACTGTACTCTGATCACTATCTGTATCATTAGATGATATTTTAATAACATTTGGGGAAGACTGTAAGCTATTAAATGTATTATTTAAAAAATGCTGACATTTGTTTACACTATATGGTAACTGAAATGTATCAGATAATAAATTAATTTCACTGTGTTTTTTCATATTAAGACTTGTTTTATATCTTTTAATAGCAGTGTCTGACAATTTTTCTAAACTAACTATTGCATTTAAATATTTTGTATTTTTCATTACATTCGTTGACTTTTTGTATTTTTGAATATCAAATTTTGCTAATCGTTTTAAACGAATTACAGGATTGAAATTGTGTAAGAGATTATTCAACTTTTTATATTTTTGAATATCACAATTTGATAACTTTGTTAAGAGAACTGTTGGATTCAAGTTTTTAAGATTTTTCGTATGCTTATTTGGTTTCTTCGTACATTTATAACTGTTATTTCTGGATAATTTCACGTTTTTTGATTGTGCAAATGTCTTATTAGATTTTTTACGTGTTTTTGAACGAATTTTTTTTAACCGAACCATTGTACCATTCAATTCTTCGTAATTATTATCCATTGTATAATTATCATCTTTATCGTTTGTAATAACAGATTGATTTGCTAAAGTCATATGTAATAAGTCAAAATAATTTTGACCATTTCCTGTTTGAGCAGATCTTTTAAAATTTGAAATAACTTGAGAAACATTTTCTAAATTTTTATTAATTATACAGGAGTTCTTTAACTGTCTTCTTCGTTTAATATTTAATTTATTTGGTAGTGAATACCCAAAATCTAATGCAGGGTGTATATGTTGTTGCATTTTACAAAGTACCTGTTTGTTACATTTTTTCATAGTAACAAGATCAACAGGTGAATTTCTACCAGTATATAATTTCTTACGATGTCTTATTTGTGTAACATCACTATTCAATAAAGATTTTTCTAAGTAACTTTGTTTAGAATACATTGATGAAGATTGAATTTTTGATAACTCACAAGACATATCATTCAATAGCTCATGAGATTTATTATTTGATGTTTCACAAGATTTATTATTTGGTGTCTCACAAGATTTATTATTTGGTGTCTCACAAGATTTATTATTCTGTGTATCGCAAGATCTATTATTTTGTAACTCGCAAGATTTATTATTTGGTGTCTCGCAAGATTTATTATTCGGTGCATCACAAAATCTATTATTTTGTAGCTCACAAGATATATTATTTGGTGTCTTGCAAGATTTATTATTCGGTGCATCACAAGATCTATTATTTTGTAGCTTGTAAGATTTATTATTCGATAGTTCACAAGATTTATTACTCAATAGCTCACAAGATTTATCACTTGACAGCTCACAAGTTTTATTATTTGGTAGCTCACAAGATTTATTACTTTGTAGGTCACAGGATTCCTTATTTTGTAGTTCACAAAATGTACTATTTGATAGTTCACAAGATTTATTACTAAATAACTCACAAGATTCACTATGTGTCACCTCACAAAAATTATTAGGCGGCAGTTCATGAGATTTATCATTTGGTAGCTCTTTGCCATTAGCTCTCTGTGTTGTTTCTGCATTTTCATAATAGGTTGTATTGGAGGAAGTAATTGTATTTTGAGGTTTAGCTTCTCCCATAATCGCCATTCTTTTTTCTTTATTTGTTGTATTTATATTTTGTAAAATATATGTAGCTGTATCAACAGAACTACTAAGAGAACTTTCATCGTAACATGGTTTCATATAATGTATATTTGATTTTCCTGTATTAGAATTAATACTTTTTATATAATCAACTTTCCTAATACTTATTTGATAAGGTAAATAACCAGTATTAACCCAATATTGTACCACACTTCTAGGTTTATGTGTAATTTGTGGTCTACATTCGCTTTTACACGGTTTAAGTGTTCTAATATCCAATTCAATATCGTCTGTGAACTAAATCAGATCATTGTTATCATTATTAATTACTGTCACAAAAAATTATACACACCTGATCTGAGTATCTATAGAAAAATTGTTCCCAGAATTGTTCTCTTCGTTTTAAAACTTCGGGGGGTACTATGTAACTCCTAAGTGAATCCACCCCTACAACACTAATAAATACGGAATTAAAATATGTATACAGATGACTTTTGTATTGCTACGAAGCTAACCAAACTTTACTAAAAAGTATTTGTAAAATTTATAAAGTTTTAGACAGTATGTGATGAAAAATCTATCATATTTTAATAAGACATTGTTAGTTTTAAATGTTATAAACTACTGCTCTATGTATTGCTGTTAACATTTTGTTTCTTATTTAAAATATTATTTAAAAGAAATATACAAAAGAATTAATTTAAGATGAATAATATTAATGTTTTTAACAAACAATATCCATAGCTATATAATTGTTTCCAAATTAATGTTTTGTTCTAAACATAAATTATAATAATAATTTAAAATATCTTTAAGTCACCTTTCAATGTTTTCACAATTAGAATGTGAAAGAAAATCATTAACAAAATTCCTCCTTTTTGTTTTATTTCCCATAGTGTACATTAGTAAGTTCAATGGGATATCCAAAATAACATAAACACCATTCAGAGCTTATATTACATGACCAACATATATGCATCATGTTAGGAAAAATGAAGAAATTTTGTCAACGGTATAAAAATTGAATAACGTTTTTATGCTTCGTTTAAGCGATAGCTATATTTACTCAAATATATGAAAACAAGTGTATAAACCCTTGCAAAATCTATAATATTACATGCTCCGTTTATATTATTCGTCGTACAAAATATTTTAAAATGATAATTTTTATTTATTTTTTAACAGATGTTTTAGTTTTAAAAATTTATTCAAAATAAAATAAAAATTTTAAATATTCTATAAAGTAATACGAAATAAATTTACAATTATTTTTAAATCAAAACTTTACAGTAAAATGGAAGAGTGGCTTTCAAAGACCGTAGATATATAAGTAATTAATGCCAAAATTATGTAAAATTATTTGTCTTACGAAAATTATATTTAATTCGCGCATTTCGACTAACTTCAATACATTCTCTATTACGTTGTATGCCTGGTGTGAAATGCTTTTTTCCGATTGGTTATATACCTGGTGGACAAACTCTACGAACTGAAGAGTAAAAGTAATGAATAGAAAATATGTATGGAATACAAAAAATGCAAAAAATAAAAAACCACCAGGTATACGCATTGAGTGGTAGAAAAATTACAAGTGCGCTTGCGCGTTACACTTAATTGTGAAACATATTTGAATCAATCTGACGTAACGTGCGCAAAATGAGTAAAAATTTGTCGTTTGTAAGGCATGTTCTCTCGTGAAACGATATACTGCCATCAGTAAACGAAAACGTAGCACCTGGTAACGATTGCTACAATTAAAAAGATGGCGTAGTCAAAAGTCAAATTTGAAGTGGGTTGAAAGTAACATTTACATTTTTAATAGAATAAATTATAATTAAAACACTTAAAGTTCTAAATTTCTGTATAAATTCAAAGATAAGAACATATATAAAATAGTAAGTAATGATAATTTAAATCACTTATACAATAATAACTCTTAATAACAATGCCTGTTATGGCAGCAAATTTAAACTTACCCGTTGATCGCGCCATTATTTTTTGGTATCGGGATTCACCGCAAGGTAACGCACTTTTTATTTACTGATACGAATAGCACTCTATAATATGCTTTTGCTTCGTCGTCATACACGTGCAACAAAATATATGAACAACTGGAATTATTTATAGCGGGAACAACTATATGTTCTATTTAGCAACATATTTAAATAACAGTAAAAAGTTACAACTAATGAAACTAAATTATAAATACAATTTTTGCATTAATTCATTTTTTGTTTTCGTAACAACGACAAGGTATTGTATAACAAAAAGGTACAACCTTCTCAAGCTATATTATTACTATTACTATTACTATTACTATTAGGAAGATATTAGGAAGATTTAGTTCCTGTTTTTTACACCTAGATGGCTAAGTATTTGGAAGTACATAAAATGCAATTTCAAAAATTTTCAACTGTAAAGTTGTGAGCCCACTGTAAAAATATTTTTTGACTTTATCACGGCCGCAAAACAATTTACGATAGTTAATAAAATGTAAAACTTTATGTATTTTATGAAAAAATACATTTTCTGTTCTTATAATTCTGTTAGATGATGTCAGTGCTTTCATATAGCGCGGGTGAAAATATAAATTTTAAAACGCGCACAAAAATAAGTCTGATATAAAATTAATAATTATTACTAACTAACCATAGTCATATCTGTGGTCACCCAGAAATTTAAATAGTTTCTGAAAATATCAATTTTTTCTAAATATTTTACCAATTAAAACGCATTATCTCCAGGAAAAAGAGGATGTTTAAAAAATATAGAGATATAAGAAATTTTATAATAATTAACTGACGTAGAAAAGATAATTCATTTTATTAAGAATCCGTTTTACGTTATCACTTATTTATATTCTTTGTACATAATTTTTATGAATCTTATATAAAAAAATGTTGATTTATAAAAGAGTCATGTATTGGTAATCTATTAAACTATATAATATTAGTACTGGTCGTTGTTTCTCTTTCCTTGCATCTTGCATTTTTTCACATATTTCCATTATATACTTTTTGTGTTTTGGATGTCTGAAACAATAAATAAATTATTTTAATTATTCGGTTTATAGAGAAATTAAGTTACAACTATATAAATTTCTCATAGAAAAACAACTTAGTGATTTTTGTTTTGAATTTGTTTATTACATGATTGTTATAGCATGCCAAATTCTAATTTAGAATTTTAGTAAAATACATGAATATGTACTGTACTCAATTATTTAAACGTTTAAAGAAACTATAAGTATTACAGATATTAAAATACATACATGAATATAGAAATTATTGCAATTCAACAATTAGGTTAAATATTAGTATAATAAAATACAAAATTTTCAAAATGACTTAGCACATTCTTTCCTATTAGTTATTATAATAACTATCGTTTTTCATAATTAATTAAGAAATATTAGAAACTTACCTTTCTATGATTACTTGCAAACTTTTTGAAAAATCATGTTCCTTCTCATCAATTTCCAAATAACTTATGATTGTTCTTAAAACACACATATCTAAAAATACTGCAAAGATTTCGATTGGAACTTTAGGTGATATTCTTTGGAAGTAGGCAGACATTTGTGCAAGTATAGAATTTTTCCAACTTCTTTTAGAACTGCCAGAAAGTTTTTCCGATTTTTCAGACGAAATAAAATTGATATTAATATTTGTTGGGTTATTACTACAAAAGTTCTCGTTTGTTGTTGTTTTACTCTCAGATCTATTTAAAATAGGCGTAGAACTATCCAGTCTTTGAAAGAAATCAGCGATCTCTTGATTGGCTACTTTCTTTTCTTGAAATCGATCGCGTTCCCAACTTTGAATTCTTACGCTTCCTTTTTCTTCACTTTTTAAAAGAATGACTTGATTTATTAAATTTTCTTGACAATGTTCAAGGATTTCCTCGACAGATGGTAAATCTAAGATTGTAACTTTCAATCCCAAACTCCATAATTCTTTCAACACATTGATCATCTCTTCTTCCCGTGAACAGTTACCCATACAAGAAATAGCAACATTCATTCCATATTTGCACTCTAAAGATTCTGTCGTCTCTGAAACGACAGATATAAGTTTCTCTAACGAAATACTAATTCCAGCACCGTACTGTTTCATTTCTTTGCTAGCCATATCTGTTCGTTCAAATATCTTTTTAAAAGAAGATAACATTTTGTCATAGCGTCCTCCGGCTGCTATTACTTCTTCTCCACATTTTTTTCTACGTTTTTTACCATCGTACGTTATTTGGTAAATTATACCGCTATGCTGATTTATATTATGCACGAGAAGAGGTGCTACAACTACCGGCCACTGAAAAATGTAATATTTAATAAATATACAGGTTTGACCAAAAGCTATAACAATTAAATGGATATTCAATATACATCTACAAGAAAGTTAGATATTTTTCCAAGTCATTACAAAATTGGAATTGTGATATACCGACGGAGAAACAGTCGATGGTAATATAGATCGTTAATGAAAAGAAGCAATGAAGAAAAGGCATTATTGTACATTTCTTGTATAAATAAGTGGTTAGTGAATAGATACAGCTTTTATGCTTTTTTAAGAAACAAAGTTACATCTCAGTTAATAATTTATTTTTTTTTTGTTATTAATATTAATTCAATTGTAGAATATTATACCTTCACTTCAAGAGCTTCAATATTCTTCACTATCAATTCAATTTCCTTCAATCCTTCTTTGGCTAATGTAGCAGCATCTCCTCTTCTCCTCGTAATTGTTTTTAAAATACTGCTAATTTTGGCAGGGGAGCCTTCGCTCTCAAATAAATTATATAATGTTTCCATAGCTTGATCCGTCAAACACAAACTTATCAAATGCGTTTTTATTTGAAATTTTGAAAATTTTCCATCACGCACATCTAGAAGTATCGGATAAATATCTTGACATTTTTCTTGATCAATTCCACAATAAGTTAATACGGCTTGTAATAAAGAAGTATGATTCAGGCAGATGGTAAAATTTCGTTCTTGTGACAACGATAATTCGTTCATAATTTCCCAGACAATGTATATTAATTCAGCTTCCATTAGTAAATTATTAGGAGTAGGGCTAACTATATCGAATGCACATTCATATAGCTCTCTAGGATGAAAACCTAATACCTGTAAATTTATATAAAAAATTTGATTGAATTAACCTTTCATTAGATTGACGATGATTAATATTATCGACGAATAAGCTTAAAGTAATAAAAGTCTAAGTTTAAAGCTTATTTAAAAAGGAAACGCTCATTTTTAATATTTTCATTTGATTTCGATAAATGTGTAGATTTTGTAAGGTGTAATGGCGAAAAATTTATGTAAATTTTATAAATAATATTGATTTTCATTATAAACATAAACTTAAATTTAATAAAACAGAAATAACAAATGTACCTTTTTTTCTCTAAACACCCTTTCAATGGCGTATCTTCTGATATGTGGTATATTGTTCCGTACAATGTATCTTGCAAATGGCGCACGCAAATCATGAGGAATACAAACAACATTCCCGTTACGAGTCATTAATTTTACACTGGAATTTGAAAAACTACAAAATTGATGCGACTTTGGCATCAATAAAGGAGTTCCTAAATAAACACCTCCGTGCCTTTGAAAAATTTCAATTACTTTGCACTTAACTTCTTCTTGATGCTTTTTCCAAGTTAAGAAGTTCATATGTCCTCTGGTAGGTACATTCATATCGTACGTAATATCATCTGCTGGTGCAACTTCCTGCATAAAACAGCAAGAAATTAAATATTTATATGCTTTGCTTTGATTGTTCGAAAGAGTACGCCGAATCATTTCTTGTAATTCAGTTTCTTCTAGTGGAGGAGGAGGTAAGTATTCAGAAGAGAGAAGTTCCTGCGCTGTAGGCCGTTGGCTAGGATCATGATTTAGTAACCATCTGTAATAATCCAATAAGTTTAAATATTGATTACTACAGTAAAATTTCAGTACCAATTATACTTCACACATTAAATAAAGCATCAGGGTTAGACATCTTTATTTTCTTTTATAATATTTACCGTAAAATGTGAGTTTGACGTGACATGTCTGGCTGTTGCATTTCTGCTGGAAGTATAATTTCTTTGGATCGCAAACTAAGTAGAACTTTAATTCGTTCCATTCCCGTTGTTAAAGGTTTATAACACATTTCAAACATTATCACTCCAAGACTATAAATGTCAACTTTTTGATTATAGATTGCTTTTGCTGCTTTCGTTGTAAGTTCTGGCGCTACATAAAGAGCGGTGCCTACTTGTCCTGTTAGAGAACCCACATCTTCTGTGCCGAAGCTGATTCCTAAAGAATATTATATCATATTTCATAATTTTTCATAAAACAGATTAAATTTCTCTAAAACTTACCTTTATCTACGCCTTGTGATTCCTTGTCAGTTTCTATAGTCTGGGCAAATGTTGACAGTATATTTGTAGTCGCGAGACCAAAATCTCCAATTTTTACATGATCATTACTGTCCAAAAATATGTTCATTGGTTTTAGATCTCTGTGTATCATACCCTGTTGATGAATATGTGCTAAACCCTCAACAATTTCTCGAAATAATCTCCATACTCTTTTTTGATCTTTGTAAAGACCTCCATCAATTGCCGTTCGAAGTGTGCTCTTTTCACAAAATTCCATTTGAATGTACATATACTGAATTTCCTTAGTTGTTTCTTCCACTCCATTTTCATCTTCTCTTATGCTTGATACCGATGTCTGGTAATTCGAATCTCTTTCGAACTCTATGTTGTCAGAAGAGTCGATTTTCAAAATGTCCTGCATCCTGAAAAGTTGATTACAAATTATGTTGTAAAATTAATATATATTTATTTTGGGACTTACCAATTTTTTTATTATGTAACATTGTTCTTATTTTTATAAACGTATAAACAAAAGATAATTTATACGTACTAAAGACGAAATAAACAAAAGTTCTACTTTTTAACAAGTTAATATTTTAGTAGCAAATAAAAATAATTACAAATTTTATTAAATTTACGATGTGCATCTTTGCGGTTAAATATTTGTTCATGATGTAAATATTAACTGAATAAATTATTAATCAATATCAGTAATGATAAAATTACTATTGTCAATACTATTAATATCAATGCTATTAATAATCATAACAACAATGTATTGATTGTAAATATTATCTAGTACGTATAAGGAATTTTTTATTAATTTTTTAAGTTTAAAAATTTATTAGAACTTCAATTTTTCATTCATCGTGAGTAAATATTATATAAAACAATATTCCTATTATTTATTAAAATTTAGTTAACGTAATTTTGAAATAAAACATTTTTTAATAAAGTTTAGTATTATTTATAAATTATCGCTTTAAAGATAAATTTCTTACAGAAACGCACAATCTTCATCGCTATCACTGTCACTAGATGCATCACTGTTATCATCATCGCTGTCAGCTGAAAGTGCTGTATTTGTTCGAGATTTATATGAAACATTCCATTCTACTTCTTGCATCGGTGGTGCCAATTTTTCAATATCATCAGTACCTAAATGCTGAGCAATTAATGTTAAATTAATGCCGAACTATTTTTTACTGCAAATGATTTATAACAAAAAGAATTTCTATTATTTCTTTTTAATTTATCAATTATTTAATACATAAATTATAACAAAAATACTTTAAATTCTTATTCCAGTACATATATTATTCTACATCTTTCTTTTATCAACACATTTATTTGTTTTTCAAATTTATTGATTTATCAATTGTAAGATATAGCAGACTCTCATTATATTACCACCGTAAACACTCCCTAATCACTGTATGTATGGAAATCCAATATCAAAGAAGAATATTTTATGGCCAATCCAATATATTGTTAATTCCAATCATTTTCGCTTCTGCAACCTTGCCGGTAGTAATATAATACGAGTCTACTGTAATATTATTGAAAACTGCCTCAACATTTATTCTTTATATTTAATAAACAGTAAAAAATGTAAAATATGAAAAAGCAAACAATCCTAAATTGCGAGTAAAAAAATCAATTGACAAGTTGAAATAATTACATTAAGAGGATTTTCAGTCTTTTTTTCCGAAGATGTTGCGGATACAGGTTGCCCTTCTGTTTTATTACTTATAGTTCCGCTTTCTATCCACGAATTATAATATCTTACTACGTTTTCATGGTTCATTCTAGATAATAATTTAACTTCCCGCGTGATCTTTCGATTAAGTTGTTTATTCTTAGGATTCAGTTCTATCCTTTTAATGGCATAAATTCCGCCATCTAACTTATTTTTTACTTTGAGAACTTCACCGAACGCACCGCTACCAAGCCAATCAAGAATTTCGAACTCATTTATAATTCTGGAGTGACCCCCTAATAAAGGCACATACTGTCGGATATCTGTATCTGGTTCTTCCGGTTCATGGCTCTCTTGTTCATCTCTCCTTGGTATTTTTGGAGGCGATAAAGCATGAATTATAGGTGTTCTTATAAATGAATGGTGTAATAACTGTTCAGCTGACCAACGCTTTCGTTCATCACTGATAAGGCACTTTGATAAGAAATCTTGGAGATCAGGCTGAAATAATCAAAGGTTTTAAAGAAAACGTTTACAGAAGAACTGAAAAAGATTTTGTAGACGTTCCTAGATACAATATTAATTTTAAATGCATTATGAATATTTAAATACGTTTACTAAATATGTCGAGCATTGAATTAGAATTATCATGCTCATTGAACGGATCCTATTATGAATTCATTTGGAGCTTAAAAGATCAAAGTCAAGTCTTCTTTCTTTGCCAACTTCTTTACATTTGTTTTAAATTCAAAATAGAAAATAATAAAGTGAGAGAGCAAATATTGAATACGACAGAACATTGATAGCTGCACAAAAAAGGGGTAAAAAGTGTATGCAAGCATAGAGATTCGTGCAGTTAATAGGATTGTTGACTACTGAGATCTCCTATTATTTATAACATATTTTCTATATACTGCCAATTTATATTTGATACATTGTTGTATAGCAATTACATATTATTTATACTGTATTTATATTACATATTATTAGTATATCAAATCCTAGAAAAATACCTTAAAGATTAACATGAAATGTATGACTCTACAGCTTTACAATTGCTTAAATATATTTACATATGTATAATATAGTAAAAATGAATATTGTATTCCAGGACACCCATAGAATCTTTTCCAGCAAACAATTAAACAATTTTAATTTTAATTAAAGTAATATTTTCTTTTTAACTCTTAGAACTGCTAACAATGAAAATATCGAGGTTTTACTATATAATAAGTCAAAATGTCAGTTCAAATTTGTGTAAATTATTTTAAATATACCTGTTTTATCGCTGCTGGATCAATTTGATCTCCAGAAACAACGGTTCCATTTAATAAGGAGAACATTAGAGCGCCAAATCGGTAAATATCTGCTTTTTTTCCACCTCTACTTTGAATACTAGGAAAATCTGGCACGAATTTAACTGCAGTGCATGACTGATACATATCACATAATCTTTTATTCAGCGAGTAATCTAATAATTTAACCATTCCTGTGCGATCAATGTAAATACTTGTATCACGTAGGTCCTTGTGAACAACATTATTTTCATGAAGATACCTTAAGGCAGAAAGGATTCCGTTCGCCAGATATCGAAGCAGATCGATGTCCACTGGGATGTTTTCCAATAAGAAAAAGGAACAGCTAGTACCAACCTGACATTCAGTAGTTAAAGTACATTTCATTCAATAGTAAAGTACATTTTAAATATTTAGAAAAATATTTTTATAATTAGTTTAATTAATGATAAAAATATTATGTATTACTATTATCATAATAGTAAATAATTCAACATTAATACAACAACAGAAAGTAACATTAGTATAATAATAATACATCCTTTACGAAAAGTATTTTATGAATAAAATTGTTAAATATTAGTTAAATTTTATTTATGAACGATGCTTGTTTTATTTGCTATTCGTCGATTTATTTAAGTGACTGTACTAATTCGAATTCAAAGAATTAAAGCTACTTTTCTTTTTCATAGTTAAATAAGATTTCAAATGAACTTACCACAAATTCTTGTAAAATATAAATAACTATAGTTTCTTCATTCACTAGGTACATCATGTTCAAATACTGAACTAGATTTGGGTGACACAATTTATATAAGTGATTTACTTCTTGTTCAAGACTACTTATTTGCTTGATAACTGTTTGTTGAGTATTATTTTCAGCAGTTTTATTATTTGTTTTTAACATCCATTCACTAATTGCTAGTAATTCTCCAGTTGTAGTATCTACGCCTGCATAAACAACTGATCCTTGATTACTATGACCCATGCATCGTGCTCGATACACTTCTCGTTCATCTATAATAATTAGTATAAACAAAGATTCAAATTAACGATAAATCACTTATTGATTTTTAGGTTCTTATATTTCTAATTTACCTTATATAAATATTTACAAAAATACATAATAATTACATTTATAAAATTGTATTTACAAAAAATACAAAACAGTTATTAGTAAATGTAACGTAAATATTCAGCTCTAAAGAATTTTATAATTAAAATGAAAGTACTTATTTAGAATATCAATGCCACCTATTACTTTGTGTATTGAATTTAAAGTCAGACTTTAATTGTAAACTGTAAATTTGAAGTAAAACTTATGCCTTTATTTTGTACAAGGTTCAATTGAGATGGACCACAATACATATTCTATTACCAACAAGAGAAATTATCGTAAGCATATAGGATAAATTTATGGTAGAAATATTGTTACTTCTTATAAAATAAACAAGTTGTTTCCAGTTATAATATAGATCGTTTGGGATCAGAAAGTACTACAGTCTTCAAATTCTCCCTCTTTAGTTTTTTTGTTTTTTTTTGTTAAAATCAAAGAATTTCTTAATCGTCATTTCGTGGAATAGTTACATTTAATTACATTCTAAAAGATCCATTCGCGATATCCTTACGGATAATTATGTGAGGAAAGTTATACAAATGCTTAGCCTCATTTCGATGGTCATAGACAATCTACTGATGGTACCAAACTGTTACTCAATAAATCATGTAACACCGTTACAGCATTTTTCTTAATTCTCTATGAGTTAACTCAACATAATCATTATCATTACTCAATATCCACTATTAAAAAATTAACACATCGCTTTATAAATTACATACCTTTGTTGTGGTTGAAATGCAGCAGTTTCGTACCCGTGTGTTCGCATAAAACCCCATCCAAACTTTCGGAAGTACTGACACATCTCCGTCGAGAATATATTCGTGATTTTTCTTGGGAAGGTAACGGTATTGATTGAAATGAATTGTTCGACGGATCACTCAACAAACGAATTGATTCTTTTCTATTACGCAGTTCAGCTTTTAACGCTTCTTGTCTTTGTTTAACTTCATCTTGTAACACCTGAAATTTTTTAAGGCGAATTAAATATGTAAAGTATACAAACGTTTATTATATCGAACTGTTTTTTTTTATTATAAAAACTGGGGTGCAAAATTTATAATTTATAATATGAGAAGCTTTTCTGTAGTTTGGATAATACAATCTATTAATGTATTCTGACCTGTCTTTCTTTGTCTTCTTTTAACTGTTTTTCTAACATTTCATTAGCGAGCTTTTCCTGTCTCTTTGACATCATTTCCTCATAAAAGCTGTCATATCTACGCTTGTTATTCTCGTACAAATATTTCTGAACATGTTGTGCTAAATCATAAATCATTTCTTCACCTTTTCGGGGTGAAGTTTTGAAATGTTCCATAAGTTCCACTAACTCACGATATAATACATCGATTTGTTGACGAGATAAACCCTCGGCATTTTTCAGCTGTATCCTTGGTAATCTGTAATAAAATGAATAAGTAATTAATTTCAATATTCTGGAAAATATAATATAGAATAAAGAGTTTCTTCGCGAGAGAAGTAATGAGGGCAACTTGAAGGTCAATTTTTAATTTTAAGCAGGACGCTTTTTTATATAATTTCGGATGTTACTAATACTACATAATATTTGTATATCTGATGATATATAAACACATTAGATCAGTCAGTCAGTCGAAAATATTTTAGTGCACTTAACCCGATACTTAAAATTCACCAAATTCTTGTATATCCTAGTTTAAAACAACAGTTTTACAACAGTACATTTAAAAAATGCCTTAACTATCTTTCTGCATCTGATATATCAGAATGAGAGGTGTTGAGCTCCTTATTTATGTGAAACTCTCAGAAATTAAAAATATTGTTAACCAGAAAATAAATGGCAAAAATGTTAATGTGAAAATATCATTTTCTTTGGTATTTAGGCCAAATTATTTCTGATAAAGTTGTAAAGCCAAATCTTGAAAAGGAATGATCCTGCAAAGAAATTTTTATTTTACAAATTCTACCTGAAGGTCACACCTTTAAAAATTAAAAAAATTCCTACAGTATTTCACAAAATCCTCTCTATGAAATAGCTAAGGCTCACTCATTTTTATTAACATCGCATGAAATATTAAATACAGTCGGTACGTACCGTGTTAAATAAATAAATCTGCCATTATGACTGCCTGATTGAACCGATATTACTCATTATTTCAATGAAGTTCAAAAAGCTATTTTATTGTTTTAATATTGCTGCTTGTACTTGCCTATAAATTGTACTGACCCACTCTTGGCCAATGACACTTCCTTTATAATAATCAAATTCTATCCGCTTCTTTATATTGTGATTATTTGTGAAGAAATGTCATTGCACGATGGAAACCACGAGAAGGTGGTGGGCTTCTTCCATCAGGATAATGTAAGGATGGGACAGTAAAGATTGGTATTGATAGAATAATTTTAAATGTCGATATTATTGGATTTAAATAGAAAAGTGACTGAAAGTATTATATGGCATAGTGATCTGTAAGGCTGTAACAGGAAAATATCCGCCATACAATTCTAAATCCTGTATCTTGGTTGGGTGTAAAATTCTGATCTATTTGTATGAAAATAAATTTGTATAACAACATTCACGAAACATATATTTTTATTGATTTAATATAAAAAACTAAAATTTACTTTAAAATAATATCAATTTATCTTATTTGTTGCAATGAACAAAAATTACTCTTGTTTTAATTTGTATTTGATAAAAGTAGAGATTAAACAAAAAGTATGTAATCATAAAGAAAATAATATTTTGTTTATAGTATAAAATAATATATATGTAATATTTGTAATTGATAACTCTGTTCAATTAAACAAATTTCCCCATATAAGAATTTGATAATTAATGTCTTCTGCAAGTTTGTACACATTAAAAGACGTTTCGTCACACGGTTCTATTGTAAAAAATATTCTTTAAAATTCTTTTTATTATATTGTGCAGCCACTTCAAGGAAATATATAATTTTTAAAAAATTTTGGGTAAAATATCTGAGGTACCTTATTAATGGTTTTTGGAATAAGTAGGCAACAGTTATATTATGCATAAGCTTTCAAAAATTACTACAAAATAGTATCGGTTCGATTAGACATAATGGCGGGTACGATCCATTTACCTACAACGAAACGTATCGGCTATCTTTAACATTATTTTGCAATGATAATTAAAAAAGCACCAAAATGGTTTCTAGCTATTAAAAGAATTTAATTTTGAAAACACAATGTACTATCGGAAACTATCACGAATATTTTCTAGTAACTATGATAATTTTAATTTTGGAAAAATTAATATCTAACGTTACAACTAATACAGTATCTATTATGCACAATATTCAAAAACAAATGGTGCAAGTGAATAAACCACAGATCACATACAAGTTGTGTTAAATTATAAAAAGTATTTTAATTTGTTTGTAACTACTGATTTACTTCCAATAAAAATGAATTTCTTTGAAATTTTTTATTACAATGTCGTAATTTGTTTACAAATTATACTCGGTTACAAATAATAATTCAACATGGAATTATAAACCATCACTAAAACTGACATTCAACATTTTATACGTGAATGTCGAATGTTTTATATCTCTTGTTTCAGACGAACTGGATATCGATACTACGTCAGCCAAACTGATGCACTTTCTGAAATAAGCCATACAATTACACAAGTCCTACAAAACTGGTAGTCGCTATCACATAGTACTAAATGTGTTCCACATGTTCACAATTAAACCGAACGTCCTTTTTGCAAAGGACATTTTTAGAAATGCGTCCCACAAGTGTATGCGCTCCACATCTGTATACTCGGACCGAACGATATTTTCGTTAAATTTGCGAAGGACCATTTCAGAGATACACTCAACATTTGTATATTTAAACGAAACAAAATATCAATACTATGTTCAAAAATTAATTTGGAACCAAATGTATCTATCCTACTGGTCATTTTTCTGCTTTCTAGTAAAAATGTTATTTACAAAGCACCTTTATTCACATCTTTTTGTTTGAATTCTTTAATATGAACATTAAAAACTATTTACATGTTCTTTTTTGCATTTCATGGTCCTTTGAAATAAATCCAAATTATTAAGTAAGTATGTAGAGACTCACTGCAAAAGTGATACTAGACATTATATTTGAATGATTTGATAGCCCTAATTAATTTGTAGAGCCTACCTCAACCTTAAATTTATTATTCTCAGTATATGTATTCTTATTAAAAGTGTTGAGCTTTAAAATGTTATGTAGCAAAGAACGTACTTACTCAGCAGGATATTTATTGCTACAAGTTACATGTAAATCAATCTGCACGTATGCTTTGGCTGGACCTGACATTCCTTTCTGAGGCATTAAAGTAATAATAACATCTAAGGGTTGCCATTTCTGTTTATCCTTTTTGTTTCTTAAATCACGAAGTTCATCTCCAAAGATACTCTGCAAAAAATATATCATATTAAATATTAAACTTTTACGTAAATATCAGCACAGCATATGCCAGAAACAAGAATCATATAAAAATGTATTAAAAGCTAGAAAAAGCTATAAACCATAAATTAAAAAATGGACTTTTTTATTTAAATCTGCCTTTTCTTGAAGTTTATTTATTATCCTTCCATTATATTAATAGCAAAAGTTCTTCCTATAATATAATTATGTACATGAATGATAATCCTTACTTTGTAATCAAATTTCCATAAAGGTCAAATTTTTCTTAATTTTTTGATATTTACAAGATAATTTGAGAAATCTTTTAGAATGTTTACATACAATTTAATCAAAGAAAATGTTCAGGAACATGTTTTATTGAACAGAAAACTTCTAAATAAAATTTTTAGTAATAAAAACAGGTTTTATAAAGATTAATTTACAATTCAATTTTCAAATTTAATGATATACATATGAAATAAAATAAAAAGTAAAACATTTATGCATTTTATTAATAAGTTTAAATAAAAATACAAATTATACAACTTCTATATAAAACCAATTTTTATAAGACTTTTATTCGTAAAAGAATTTATTTTCCAGTTGAGTCATCAAATGATTTGAGTGATGAAAAACGGAATTTAAAATATTTAAAGAATAAACATTAAGGGAATGCTATTTGTTATGTATCTAAACTTATTCTTAATCTTATTCTTATTCTTAATCTAAAGATACATTCTTTAGATTATGCTTCTTCTTTATTTGTCTTTTTCTTCTTGAAAAATATCCTTTGTACAATTATATATCCAACTATAGACTCAAATTATAAAACTGGGCTCTGCAAAAGGCTATATAATTGTACAAACGTTTATGAAATGTAATTGATTATGAGACAATATTACAACTTTAACTGAATTTCTTCAAAAGTTTTGAAATTGGACAAGGATCAATCTCTGATTAGAATTTCTTAATCTAATCTCCAAAATCTGTTTCAAACTAAAGCTGCTATTTCTATATATTATAATAACTTATTAAAGTCTGTGATATAAGTGAAAAGTTTGGAATTACAAATAAATATGTTTTTAATTATGTCATGTATGGTCTCGTTTCAATCAGAAAAATGTCACAAATATGGTAATAAAAGTTTTATAACAAAAAAAAAATAAAAAATAAAGAAGTTCTATCCTTATATTGGTGTTGTCTCACGGATATGTTACTGTTTGTTTATATTTGTTCGAACGTTTCCTCCGCGCTATCATTTTCTGTGTTCCAACTTCAATCGTTACAGGAATTACACGATATAAGCGAAAGTTCAAACACGAAAAATTCGTTTAAATAAAGCACTTTTGTGAAAAGGCTTAAATTAAATTTTATAAACCTCGTGCCTTTTGATGGAGTAAAAATCCCGCTATCTAATTCAAAAGTCATACCGGACACAAACGTTAAATCATGTATTGATCAGGATCGCCAATTTGAATTGAATTTTGAAGATCTCGCGCGGAAGAAACTGAAAAACTTCGAACAAAATTTTTGCTTCTCATACACTTTTCTTTATAGGGATGAAATACGAATATCAATAATTTTGACATTCAAACACAATTTTGTAATTCCAAGAATGTGAGATAAAAAAGAAATATATTCCTATGTTTTATTCTTAAAAATATTTTTTCCATAATTATACAAACCGCTGGTATATGGCAAAATTAGGCTTTCTAGCAGCTATATAATTTAACCAAAAACGATAAAAAGAAACATGAGAAAAAGCTCTCTCTTTGTCCTAAATTTTTTCAGCTACGAAGTTGTATACAATATATTGGCTAGCGTAACTACTAGCTTGTTTTCCCTCTAAAAAACAACGCAAAACAAGTATTAATTTCTATCTAGGGTTTCTTAATTTTTCCGTTTGAGATCCTAAAATTATTTTGGACTCGAGTCCAAAATTTTTGTATATCGAACTAATGATTTACAAGGAGTATTCAATGAAAAGTGTTATTTCATTATGGATTTATAAATAATTTCAAAGACGTGGTCGATGTCTTCTGCCAAACATTATTGTATAAAAACAAAAGTTATTTCCCAACCTCACTGATTCAGTAATTAGGTACTAATTATAAACATCTTTTTGAAATTCGCAATAAGCAACACCCTAATGCTTACGTAGAAGGTCATTTCCCGAGGAGAAATTATTCAAAATTCTCTTGAACATATTTGCTGCCACTTTCGAAGCATTGTCAACACATGATATAACATTCAATGATACAATATTCCCTCGTGTTACCATGCGTCGACAACGTGACGATCAGTCACCACCATCGTCACCTTTTCGATAAATGCTAAGACAATGGAATTGGTAACAGACATGTGTTTACAATTTTTAGCTAGTCAACAAAATATATTTACAAATTATATTTGAATATTGTTAATCTATTCTTTATGAAACAGGACGTACTTAGGGAAATCGTAAATCTACCTTCCTGTTTGTTGTGCAATGACGAATTCTGACAAAATTATACTTTGCATTTTGAAAAATTGTGCCGGCGTATTGCATCTTGACCAGGTTTGCCAATTTAAAATCTTTAATCGACTTTTGAGACCTCATGCGGAAAACCTAAGAAACTCTAGATAAGGATTGACAATCCCCGTCACTCCTGCATTACTCTGCAGAGGAGAGACAAAGACATTCTTTGAATAATTTATATAAGTTATCAGAATCACGAATTTACTTGAAAGACAACTCTCATATAGTAGATTATGAAAAAAAACTTCATAAAGTGAATACTGCTACTATTTTCTAGGAAAAGATCGTTTTTCATTTATATCTAAAACATCAACTTATGGGCGAACTCAATAACATAGGGTATCCCCGTAGCCGTAATCATCGCCAGGCAGAAAGTAATTCATTATGTAAAAGTAAATTGAAAATGTACAATAAAATTTTAGCATTGTTTTCAAAAAATTCAATTTGAGAAATGCATCAATTATGTATACAATATTATTTGGTAAGTTCGCCTTGATAAGTTTTTGTTTTTGTTAACATTTATATTTATAAATGTGGTTGATGCTATTATCTACTTCCTGGCAATGTTATTATCAGAAGTATTGTTCCGTCAAATTAAGATTTACAGTTAGTATATTAGTTCTCAACAATTTTTCAAACTTATTTATTACAAAAACAAAATTTCATATGCAAAAAATTTAATTTATATTTTTCGACATTTTATAAATTCTTCTTTCTGCCCAATTATACATATACCAACATAAATTAGGATATTTGTAAAATATTCATTACTTCACCTGAAATATTTATTCATTTATAACATATCCATACTGCAATGTATATACACAAGAAGTTATGTTATCTATGAGATCCATAGTTTATAGATTACATGATCCATGTCCATTTTTCACTTTTAATATCAACATATAGATATATATATTAGCCAGTTATAGAATATGTTCAAACTTTGATCAATAACATTCATCATTGAAATATTTTCTTTTACTGCACTTACAATATTTGGTCAAAACTTCTAGTTTGATAAGTATGTTTCATCTATTAAAAGTTTGTAAAACATGAAACAATTATGTTTTGACATAAACTTCAGTTTCTATATGAATATAAACTTAAAACTTTTTAACATAAAGAACCAAATTTAAAATGACAAAAACTTAATCATGTTTTATATTATAAAACATGAAAACGATAAAGTAATAATATGAAAATGTATGAAATCCTTTATTATAGGAGATCTTGTTTTCATACAAAATATTGTGCACAAATACCTTTACTTCTGAAATGGAATTTTAACAAAATGTGTGGAAAACTTAAATTTGGAATAGATTAGAATATGATAAAGTACCAAAATCTGATCACTAATGTTATTCAATGATATATCAATTTTAATGTCATACATATCAATATTATTTCCAGAATTACTAATTGGAATCTTACAAATCATGTTTGTTATAAATTAAGATACATCATCTCATAAAACAAATATATTCTTAAGTACCTTTACAAGAATGACAAAAACTAAATCAAGTTATAACAAATTTAACACATTTGGTATTCAACTGTTTGAAAGGTACAATAAAGAAGATACAGATTACGTATAAAGCACAGAATAATGTAATTATTTAATGCACATAATAATACCAAACATTAAATGCGTCAATACTGTTGTTGCAATTAAAACTGCTTTATCGCTTATTATATTTTTAATTTACAGATTTCAAATTGTACCTTAGAAACAGCTGAAACAAATCATAACATTTTCTTTCAAGTTACTTGCACTTTATTTATCATATATTTATATTAAGATTTAATTCATAAATCATACAATTTCATTTTCAAGTAATCATTTTTATACAACAGGTAGTTGATGATGAAATGCAAATTAAAATTTAACAAACCATAAAAAAATGACTACTGTCATAAAAATAAAAAATATAACAGATAAAAAAAAAGTTTGCATATTTCAGCTAATTTACTGTAAATAAATTGTAATATGTTGTACCATACCTTTAAAACCTCAATTTCGTTTTCCTGCCGATCTTGAAAGGACTCACAGGACATATTTCTGTCAATACATTATATTCTCATTGTTCAATCACAAATATCGTTCCTTAATTACACGATAGTTTAAATTCAGTATTTAAACTTTAACCTCAATCTCAAAACAACAATCACATAAAAACTAAACGACACTTGTTCACTGGTATTGGAAATATTTCTCGATCATTCTTTAAAAAATGTTTAATATGTGAAAACAAGTTCACGTTTACAGGTACATTATTTAAACATATAAGTGTAAAAAGAAACTAAATATTAATTGTATTTTTTAAATTGTGTATATTTGACGACAAAAGCTCGTACACATCATATATACAAAACTAAATCATACGATTAAACATAGTTTCTCAAATTATCCACTTGCCCACGCTGTCGTTGTTTTTGTCGCGAATTTTGCGGGAAATTTAAAATTTTAAACGTTAATTGTATAGTAAATGCATAATTGAATATTTTATTTACAAATTTTAATTTATATTCTGTATCACGATAGGTTGCACTAACTGTATAGAAATATTTATTAAATATTAAGATTAAATATCACTTTTATAATACTTATTTTGCGCAGTCACAGCGATGCCTCTCTATAAAGTGCTTTTTACTTTATGGTCACATATCTGGTGAACAAAATTAATATGAATAACGATAAGAATAAGTAAGAATGATGATGTAGAACAGGAGAGCAGAGTTGAGTAAACTTTACTCGAATCGCGAACAATATTCAAAGAAATTTTATTTAAAAATAATTTTATTCGTTATTCGAAGAAACTTGGTTGCGAATAAATGTGACGTTAATCGACACTTGTATCTACAGTAAAATGGAAATCAGTTCGAAACATATTGAGAAAATGGAAATATTTCCTGAAATAACAACCGATTGATGAGGAAAGAATTGTTTAGTTCCGTTTAAAAATAGATACAATATTCTTTCGAATAAAAATGAATTATTTCGAGTAATTTCGTTTATTCATAATTTGTATTCAATCGAATTTTGAACGTACTCGAATTGTTATTCAAATAAAATTTTAAATAAATAATTTATTCGAGTAATGCCCAAATCTTCAGGAGAGTATATTAAATAAGAAATCACATAAATGATACAGATGTTTTTAAGCGTTAATTAGGTTATCAACTGCCTGGAATATTATCATTACTTTAAATAAGAGACAGAAATGTTATTTATAAAAGTTACAGAGTATATAAGAATGTGTACATCATATAATATTAATAGTTTCTTTATATGTGAATATGTAAAAACTGAATATTCAATTTTGTCTTTTCTTTCTTTTAATAGAGCTTGATGTATTGCCCCGGATTTCGATAGAATAGCAAATTCTGACAATAAATATAAAAATACGAGGATAATTTGTCTTGAAATATTTTACTTCGTTCTTGATGCTACATAATTTGACTTTCAAATTTCATAATAACTTTCTTATGTTTAAAAAACGAGGAACTGATTCTGAGAAACGTGAAAAGTTTAACAATGTTATTTCATGATAAGCATTTATTATGTAACCAAAAATATTTATACTTGGAATTTGCTATTTTATTGATATTCTGCTTGAAAATTGGATTCATTCAAACGTGCAAATTCATTTGTTAATTTACGAGATGTCGGAAAGATGGTATAAACGCAAATCTCGATTGATCATTCGAATTTTACTATTTGATCTATTTTGTTAGTTTCGCATTTCTTCTTCTCTCGATAAAATCTTATTTAACAATTCCTTTTAGATAATTACATTTTCCGAAACTGCGCATCGCAATATTTTGACCACTTTATTCAAATTTGATAATTACCGATTTTTATATTCTACATATTCTAATAAATCATTATTAATATTGCATTGATAAAGATTTTAATAAAAGACAACTTGTGTTATACAACTAGGGAAATTCTAAATCTTGTGAATATTACACGGCGGTACCTACAGATTTTACCTTGAAGTTATGATTAAACTTTACCACTCGATAGTGGTAAGTTAAAATAAAAATCCATAATTTTTGCTTAACTTCTTATATTCGCTGTAATACTAGCATGTTTCTATACACACAGATTTAATTGAAAGCTATTTGGTAGTACTGTCACGTAGAGTTTAACTAACTGACGACACACGATCAGTGTTGATCTGACTCCTTCGGATTTAATTTATGACTCTGTTACGAAGAATATCATGTGACAAGTGATTGAATTAAGCATAGAGAAAGGACAACGTATAGAGTTAAATAAAACAGTATAGAGATCTACTTATAAAAATTAGTATTAGTTTAATATATCTTTATCTATCCACATGAAAAATTATTTACGTACATGCATTTAGTGTCCTCCTGAATATCAAACCACTTTCGAAAGAAAATTCTTTCGTAACGTTAATCCCTCATAAAATATTTTAGGATTTGCAATTAAACGATGCGCTTATACATATATTCGACTTAAAAAATATTTGTTTATTATTTTAGCGATATACCTTACATAACAGTGGGTACTTACGTACATCATCTAAAAGATTGTAGATTGAATTTGTTTTAAAGTAGATGAATATAACTTTTTTAGCATTGAAGTTTTTTTGAAACAAAATTTTCTGAAATACAGAAATAAACTGTTGCAATTGTTTATGATAACTTCTTCAAATATACTTTTTTGTGAGCAACGTTAAAGAACTTTTACATTTAGTTCATATTCATAAATTTAAAAATCAATTTAAATTTGCGACTTTCAAATGATTCATCTAGAGTAATATACTAAAATCGTGTACATAATTCTTTGTTTGAACCAACGATGTATCGTTATTTTCACGGTTATGTTAAAAATTGTGGACTATAATACAACGAATAGGTCCCACAAATTCTATTATTCATTAAAAACATACACTTTCCAAAATTTAAGCTTTTTTTTTTACTCTGTTGTGATGTACAAATAACGGAACTAATAATGTAAGATCTTTAAATCTTAATGGTCCCGGAAAAAAGATGTGTGGAAAAAATAAAAAATGCTATTGCTCGTACGAATCCAAACTTGAAGCATATAAAGTATGATGAGCTTTCGAACGGTTGAAAACAGATGGCACAGAAAGGGAAAGCGACAGACACTTAAAGGAGTCATAAACAGTACCTTTTTTGGTATCCAAGGAAAAAGTGACAAATTAAATAAAAAAAATACATTGTTAACATACTTACGAGTTGCAATGATACACGAACGAACTCCGAAAATTGTTTTTGAAAGACTTTCAAATTATTTGTAACAATATTTGTTTATGACAAATAAACAATAAAAACTACAATAGTGACAATTTTTTTGCTAATTCAACAATGTTATTTATTTGATGATGTTATTAGTTAATAAATATAATTAATAATAATACCACAATATTATATTTTTAATCACTATTCTTCGTGATTGTTATGTGAATGTAAAATGTGATGAATTTAATTAAAAATAGAATAAACTCTCATACACATGCATATGTAAAGTATATGTAAGCAGCTATATCATAAGAGGCACTGATTAATAATTCGAACGCTATTAATTATTACATTTATTAATCAATATTTGTTTATTACTGAATGACTTAATGGATCGTTGAAATTATCATGATTCTAACCATCAACTTTTATTACAAATATTTTGGTAAATGTTTAAAATCAGTCTTTTTTTCAAGCAAAACCGCATATAAGAAAGTTTTCTTTTAGTCTGTTTTTGCGCATAGAAGCACCCTCCTGCTAGTACCGTTATTAAATATTGAGACATTCTGTACACATATACGTGGTAGTAATCGTGTGTATTTATACCTGGGACATATATTTGTATTTAATTTTAACGCTAAACTTGTAACTATTATATGTATGATAAAGTAACTAAGAGTTTTCTAACTTTTGATCGTTGATAAGAGTAATCTTCATTTGGTTTCACCCTAAGAGGCTTGTCTTCTTCAAAGAGGGAGTAACTTCGGAGAAATGAAAGGCAATTGTAAAAATTTTGTTCCACGCTTGCTCACCTTGTTCAAGGTCATGTAAACCATTAGAAAGTACTTTCATCTGCCCTTTAGAATTTCGTTAGCTTATTATGCAACCGCTTACTATCCAAGATAAAATAAAAATTGAAAGAAAGTGAAAGTTACAGGCTTACTATTAAATAAGAACCTCAAAACGGAATTCATATACGTCAAACGGAATGTACATATGTGTTCTAAGCGTATGTTGCGCGAAGAAAAGTTAGAGAAATATTAGGAGAGAATGAAGTAAAACTAAGCGTCGAATACGTGCCAAAAAAGACGATTAATAATACAAATTAAAAATATAATTAATAGTTTTCAAAATTAAAAAATTGTTTTCTTTAAAAGGAATTTTAATTGTTATAAAAAAATGATAGTTTTGCAATTGTAATTGGCTTTACCTTATCGGTCAAGTAAAATTAGGTATTTATTATAAAACATATCAAACGTAACATGCTTGTAAAGTGATTATTAAGTAATAAATGTATTCTAGAATAAATAAAAATTCATAAAAATGTGCATTTATAAAGTTTTAAAAGCTAATTAGTAAAGCTAGAGCATAATGTGTAATTACATAAATGATATTTTAAAAAAGAAAGCATGAAAATGTGGCTATTATGGCTCTCTAGGGAAATAACATTTTTTTCACGCATTGAAAATACCATATTTTTCTAAATAATGGTTATTTTTAATTTTTTAAAGTATGGATTAACTGTTATAAGTCCAGTCGCAATTACTTAAGTTTCAAATATTGCCAAAGTTAAAGTATTTATCGATAAAAAGTAAACCAAATTTTTTTTAATAGAAATACGTGTTGCGCATGTGTATTCAAAATAAATGCACCCTGTATTCAAAAAAATAATTTATCCGCTTTTTTCAATAAATACTTCAACAAGATTTGAAGCTTAACCAATTAGAATACTGTAACGCTATTTTAAGGTCTTCAAACAATTTTAGATAATCGTTAATTTAAGAAATATGGGTTCGAAAGATCTGTTACTTAAATAAGTTCAAATAAGATCAAATACTGTATATGTATCTAATAAGACTACGAAGAATAGTATATTCAGTAGCATAACAATAGTATTTTATCAGCCTCTAGTGAAAAATTAATATTTCCGATATGATATCTGTACAGTGTCGCCACCCTGCGACTGATAATAATCTACTTCGAGGCGGATCAATGAGTTATTACCATTTTTATTGCGTTTTGTCAGCCTCCTATTACGTGTTCGCTCTTTGAACTGCACGTTTGCGTATTTAACAAAAGAAGCAATTTCAAACCTCATTGTTACAAAT